CTGAACCTTCACTTGGCCCATTCCTGATGCCCTTTTCCCCCTGAACTAATGCTCCTCCATCCCTCCAATAGACACAACTAGCCCACCTCCCTCTCTTCTCTCAGTCACTGGCTCCTTGCTGCCATCTCTCCAGGCAGGAGCTGAAGCAGCTGATGATTTTCTTGCTCAGCACGGCAACTGCAATCACCCCCCGGGCTTCACCCACGTCCCTGCTCAGCCAAGCCTGCCTGGCCCCACCTCTGACGCCTAATGACCATCCATTACCTGCTGACACACAAAGCCTTTTCAGCCCTGCTTCTCTCCACTTTGCCCTACCTCTAATTCCAACTTTGGCCAATGCACCCATCTGCCTCAACCCAGCACAGGCCAAGCACTTTCCTCCTTCAGCTGTCCCCTAAAGAAAATCGACCACCTGGAATAGGGGATTAAAGCTAACACAGACCCTAGGAGATCACTGGGACAAGGTACCACCTCTTTAAAGCCCAAACAGGGAAAAACAGAAAGATGAAATATTAATGTAAGGGGTTAAAGCAGTTTATTCACAAGCAGTCGCATAGGAAAGCGGTGAAAGGATATTTCACAACCAGAAGGAGGAGAGAGAAACATCTTTCTCCAGCACTGCGACCTGTCTCACAGTACAGGGTCTCCAAGCCCAGAGTGGCCTTGCACAGCCAGCTCTCAGCATCACACCTGCAGGCAGGTGCCGGCTGAGCTATCGATCCCCGCTTGTGCTACCATAAACACCCACTGATTATACACAAAGGCACAGCCTGGGGTAGAACAGATATACGTGGTCTGAGCATGGGATCTGCCAGACAGGCAGCTTGGACAAGAGTTATCCCCTGAGCACGTTCCGAATACACCAAGGAAGCACCACAGCAAGGCTGGGAGATGGGCGAGCTGGCTACGCCAGGCTGGGTCAGACACCTGCAAAAGCCCAAGCAGCCATCGCGCTCTCCTTAGCCCAGCCTGCCTCCTAAAAACACATCGCTCACCAGCAGCGCTGCAGCCAGCAGTCAGCTGTATGCTGCACCAGGGACGGGCAGGGAAAAAAACGAGGAAAACACTCCACTGAAGATCAATTCAAGCTCCAAAACGCTGACCATAGACCAGGGCAAGTCTGAAACCAGAAAATGCTTTATTGGAAAGGTACAAAAAAACCAGTCACTGCAGCTAAATTTACAGCAATAAATTACGTTGTGGCTGTCAAGAGAAAGTAATGGACACATACACAGGGCTATTCGCCTTACAAACAGGAATCCACATTGCTTGGTATATCAATAATTTATTTTATAATAAAAAAGCAGCACAAAAATAAATATTGAAATGAAATTACTGAGTAACCACAGAGGATAGAATGAGCTGGTGATAAAAAACAACTTAAAACAGAAGACTTCTATCATTAAAAAAATGAAAGCAAGTATCCACCATCTACGGAAACACCCCAGCAGACTGAAATACAGACGAAGGAAAACAAATCCACATTACAAAAGTTTTTCGTTTTTGTTTTGTTTCTTTTTTTTTTTTAAATAAAAACAATCATGACAATGAAGTTTAAATGATTCGAGAGAGAAAAAAATGCCACCTTCTCCTCCTCCCCGGGTCTGAGCCGTCCAGTGGCCTGACCGCTCCAGACTCCCATGGCACGACGCCCAGCCCTGCCACAGCTCGCCTCCGCAGCAGCTCACCCGCCAGCACCTCGTCCCCTCCCTGGCTGTCCCCGGAGCTGCGGTGTCACCAGGTCTCTAAGCTTGCGCTTTGCGGTCTCCTCCGGCAGACGGTAGAGTTGGGCAAGAGCAGAGACGCTGACTTGCTTCAAAGGGATCTGGAGCTGCCCTGGAGGGAAAGGTTCCCCACTCCCAATTGAGAGCACAGCAAACACGTCTACAAGAACAGAGATGTCCCTCCCGGTCCCTGCCCAACACTTGCGTCTTCTCCTGCCTCCCACCCAGCCCGCGGTTCCCACATCACACTGCGGATGGGGAGCAACCAAAGAAAGGCCAGGCCCAGGGGAGAGGATCCCAGCACTCAAATCCAGAGCCCTCGCTCCTCAGTGGGGCAGGGGGGACAAATTAAGAGGGGCAGAGAAGGGAGCCCCGGCATCCAAACTACTGCAGCAAAGAGACAAGCGAGAGGTACGGCTGCGGGGGAACGCTGCCAGAGCCGCCGGGGCGACTCCGCGGGCAGCAGCCAGCTCCCCACGCGGTGCTCGCCCTGGGTGTCAGGCTTGCAAGTGCAGGACGGAGAGAAAAAAAAACAAAACAAAACAAAAAAACAACAGAAACAAACCAAACCCCAGAGGAATGCAATGCGACAACCCCAAGCTGGAGGGCCCTCCAGGGTGGAGGGTGGAGGAGCTGGGTCTCCAACGTGCTCAACAGCTTTCGGGTCATTCCTCCCTCCACGTTACCTTGCAATTCTGATCCCTCTGTGGAAGTTTAGCCAGGACATTTCATTCCCCTCCAGGTCACCACCCAGGGAGCCCTGGACTGGCAATTTCTTTTAATAAAGATTTACAGTATCAAACTTGGAAAAAAAATTATTTTTTTTTTTTTACGAAAAATCTGTACGATAAAATGTATATAATTATATATTTATATATATATTTCTCTCTCTTTAAATATTTCCACGTGGTCCTTATGGATATCCAATATGGATTACCTACCATGGCTATGGTATCAACAGCTTTAACAACACCCAGGCCTCTTGTTCTTTATCGAGTGACCAGAGATTTAAGTGCCTACCAGCACTAAACTAGCAATCACTTGGACAAGCCTTTGGCACCCTTCCAAGAACTGGAAAAAAAGGAATACTTGGCCACAAGGGAAGTGCCACGTAAAGATATGTTTCTCAACTCATTCCAACAGCAAGAAGACCCCATGGAACAAAGTTCGACCTCCGTCTCCCTCAGTGCGACTGGTCTGATTTCCCCGGCGGGGGATCAAGGGCAGCCAGAGGGTGTTCCTATCTAGCCAGGAATGTTATGGAGCTCTGGAGCTGTTTTAAAGACTGGAAGCATTTGGGCATTTTCAAGTCAACTGGCCTTTTTCATTAAAGTTTTCATTTAAAGCCCCAACAGTGCCAGGAGTCTCCATTTTGCCTGTTTTCGGAGGCACCTGTAAGGTCTGGGAAAGTTTCCAATGTCTGTGAGCTGGAGAACATGAGAGGACCAGGAAATGACAGTAACATCTTTCTCTTCCTCAGCTTCTGCTGTGGGAGTCAATAACTGGTACTGATACACAGGACATCGATCTGCCTGTTTGGAGATAGGGAGGGAGTGGAGGAGAAATGAGGTAACGCTAAGTGTCATCCAAACTCCACGTGTTGGAAAATCACTTGAAGGAAACTCCCTGCTCCCCTCCATAACACGTGGATCTGGCAGGGGTAACGAGCCTTCAGGAAGCGTTTCACTTACACCCTTTCTGGCTCAGTAAGGTCACGGATGTCAATGTTGAGGACTGAATGAGAACCAAGTCTGAGGTTTCTCTTTTCATTAACCTATTTCACTAAGGACCCTCCTGGGAAATCCAGAGACTCCAATGACAAGGTGAAAAAAAAGAAAAAGCAAGCTAACAACTTCTTCCAAAGACAAGTAGGGCTTCACTAAATTTCTACCAACTTACTGCCATTCAAGGCAAGACAAAGCCTCGAACAACAAATTATACTGGGTGTCAGATGCCAGTTCACTGTTCCCTTTGCAACAACAGCGGCACTTGATTATTCTCTTTCAGTCCAAAACACTCATGAATTCTCCGTGATCTTTGTTTTCTGTTCTGGAGCCCAAATCCTCTAAGCTCTTCTCCTCATCTTAAACTTCAGCAATCTCATTTTCTTCTCACCTGCGTGACAACAGGCATCGTCCATTCCACAAGTCTCTGACCTGCCCTGCAAAACTCACAGTCCCTTTTCTTTCCTACTTCAAAAAGAAAAAAAAAAAACAACAACAAAACACACAAACACCAACATAGCTATTTTTTTTTTTTTTACAGTGACCTGGAAACATTCGTCTTTTCAGCGCTGCTGCGCAACAGCGGAATCTCTCCTTTCAGCTTCCCACCTCCTGCCCATTGCCAAGCCAGAAATACCTCTCCCAAACCATTGCTCAGAGCCATACGAACGACTTCGCGATCCCAATTCTTCCGTCCCCTGCACACACAGCCCGATTTTCCATCCTGCCCTCCGTGCGCCTCTCGGGATAATTCACCCATTCCCAAGAGAAAGCATCAAGTTTCAGGGTCACATTCACACAGGTTGTCTGAACACTGAGGGTTGTACGCTGTACTCTTTGGATCCCAACTTCAGCACCTGACCTGCTATGGAGAGGAAAAGACTCTTCCAGCTCCCATCAGACCTCCCCATAGCCCTTCTCTGGTCATCAAAGACCAGTGAGCCCAGCTCTCCAGCTGGGATGTTCATTGCTAACCTACCAATGCTTTTGTCAAAGGGGAGGCTCTATGACTTCTCTCCTCCTGTCTGAACCCTATTGCCCTCTAGTTATACTTCAGTGCTTTAAAAACATCTTTCCAAAACACTCTGCACAAACCCCTTCTCATAGTGCTGATCCCAGCAGAACTGTCCCACCTTCTCGCAGCCAGTTCTGCCTCCACCTGGTAATACTTGCAGCATTTTTCCTCCTCATCTCCCCTTCTCCTCCCCATCACACAGCTCTTCACAGCATTTACTGTGCCTCCTTCCCTTCAGCTTCAGGGAATCCAGAAAAAAACAAAGCCGCTACTTCAAGACTGCGGATCATTTGGAAGAAATAAACTGCATAAATATACCCAATTCACAGGCACACCTTAGGGAAGGAGCTATTGGGAAACTTGGGCTTGGAATACAGGAGGCTGCAATGTAGTTTTCATAGGCCACACAGGTAATGGGGCATATTAAAATATGTAAAATATATATTTTTCCATATTTTAACAGCATGGATTGAAAACAAACGGTTATTCCTAATGGGTGTGATCAGACCCAAGCATTAGTCTCCATCGTCCTCCTGCTCCCACCCACTCATAGCAGGATGAAATCTAATCCGAAAAGCCTATATCCCTGCCCTTGTAGTATCAGATGGAAGTGGGGAAGGTAGGGGAGACCCTTCTTACAGGGAGTAGGATGCCACTAAAGGAAACTCTTTTTCCCATACATTCATCTCACATGATGATTTCTATGGTCCATCTGTTTCCTGGCTCTTGAGCATCATTCACGAAGACTCTGGAGGCTCCTCAGATATCTTCTCCCAGCTGGAAAGCTGCCCACGGCTGAGAGGGGCTTGGGGAGGCAGGGGAAAGGAGGAAGCAGATCTTGCAATTTGTACTGTATACAGAGCTCAAATCCTGGACACGAGAGGTTGATGGAGCCACCGAGTCCAGATAGAAGCAGCCAGTTAAGTTCCCTTTGTAGGTTTGGGTTTGTCTTTTTTTTTTTTTTCTCTTTTCTTCTATTTTTTGCACTTTTGGAAGAGAATTGTTAAAATGCCAATTCTTGACGTGACCAAGGACTCCGGAACAATGCATAAGAGCCTTTTCCCCTCCCCTCTGAAAGGCTGCTAGTTCCCCCCACCGAGGGCACTAGGACGCTGCTGAAAATGGCACAGAACTGGATGAGATTTCGGCTGATTTCACAATGGTGATGACACTGGTGGTGGCAACTTTGGTCGGGGTAATAGGCCCTCGCGCCACAGTACGAGCAAAGGTCTGGAGTGCTTCGTACTTGGAGCGCAAGGCGTCCAGCTCTAGCTTCATGCTGCTGTTTTCTCTGGCCAGCTTCTCCACCTCTTGCTGCAGCTCAACCCGCTGCCTCTCTAGCTCCTCTTTCTGAGTCACGCGCTTGATGCGGCAGCTGGCAGCGTAGCCCCGGTTCTTCAGCGTGCGCCTCCGCTGCTTCAGACGGATGACCTCCTCTTTGGTGAGACCCCTCAGGTGCTGGTTCAGCTCCCGTACGGACATTGACACGAGTTCATCATCACTCAGCACTGGGGCATTCTCTCCTGACTCCTCCTTTACCTGCAAATACCAACAGCACAGGGGTAGCAGCAACCCTTATGTGAATGGCCGTTCTGGACAGCAAAAAAAGACAGGCCACCCTCAGCAATGTGACACCCCTACCTGGAAAACACCCCCAAAGCACCGTAGAGAGCACGTGCTCCACTAAAACAGCTGGATAAAACATGGCAGAGATCTGAGCACTGCTGTTGCCTGCGTTTGGGTAACCCTCTTAAGTCGGAGAAAGCAGTGATCCTTACACACCCAGTATGAAATGAACAGTAAGATTTTTAAGGCGATAAATGTAAAGGAAACTGAAGCCCTTTGTGTTCCTTTGTCAGGACCCGGAATTCATACTGAATGCTAAAGATGACACCTTTTCCCAGTATTATGCTGGGAATTATTATTATGCTGCAGCATCTCAAAAGCAGAATAGCCAGTTGTATGCAGGGTTTAATTCAGCATTTTGTGGCTTTTCATGGAAGACTGCTCATCCAAGTAGTGAACAAAACCAACCCTGCTTGGCTTCAGGGACCACAGCCTGATTTGGTTTTCCTGGTGCACAGGTCAGACTCTGAAGTTACATGAGAAAGACACCAAGGCCTTGCGCCTTTTTCTCAAGCAGATTTGCTACCAAAATTATTTTCAGAATCACGGAATCATTTAGGTTGGAAAAGACCTTTACGATCATCGAGTCCAGAACCTTTAAGACATCATCTTTTTTTCTCTTCAGGGACTGCAGGACATCTGGAATGAAGAGCTAAGACACTGGAAAGAAACTGTGACAGCGCATGCACAACCCATGTGCAGAGCGCCACCAAGCCAGTATGTCCGAGGCATTTACTGCCTCGTGGATCTGAGAGACACCAGCTGAACGCAGCCTTTCCCCAGTGCCGCCCAGTCCTGAGAGTTGAAGTACTTCATTGACAGGCCTGTCAGCACTGGTTTCAGGACACTGCCAATACCTGCTATAGTCAAAAGTCTCTTGGATAGTAACTGGGATACTCCAGCCTCCACGCCATCCCAGAGGCTTTAGACTTCTTTCTGGGTATCGCCAGCATTCTTCTACCCTAACCTTTCCTGTAGATAGTGGGAAATTGTATCGGCACCCATTTGTCTCTCAGAATGAAAAAGAACAGCCATGTATGACCGACGTCACACGGAGCGTGGTTCTACACCAGCCTCCCCTGCCACCCAGCATCACCCACTCGGCCTTCTTTCCTACCTTTAATGCCTTGTTCGGTTTGGGATTAGTCGTCATAACCTGAGCACAGTCTTCCGGACAAAACTGCTCAGAAATTGCAACTGGAAAAACAAAACAAGATTTTCAGGTTACTATCATCTCAGAGATGAAGGTAGGAAGAAGATACCCAACACACAGTCCAAACCCCCAACTCAACCACCATTAAAGGAAATAACCACACAGTTGTTTAAAACACTGGGGTAGATTCAGAGATCAGTTTACCCCATTCAGATACAAGAAAGAGAAATTTGTGTTGATAAGTGCATTGCTTTTTAATGCTAAAGACCTCATATTTTGCTATTAACTATGCTCAGATTAAGCAATGAAGACAGGGCAGGGAGGGGGGAAAGGACAGCAGCTCCTGCCTGTAAACAACAGTTACACTAACCGCCCACCATATACCGCCTTGCCATACGCTGCCCCTTCTCGAGGGGAGGGCAGACTGCGGCCTCCCAGGCCCAGTCACTTGCTCACCTCCCTCCGGAGGAATCCCAGACACTCAGAATGGCCTATTAGGGACTGAATTAAGAGTTACCTCCGCTCATAAAAGGCACTGAAAAGCCACAAGACAACAACTCCCTTCATTCTTATTTTGATTATTATTAACCCAGCTCGAAATTGAATCAGCAACCCAGAAAGAAGCTGCCTGGTTTGTAACCTGCTTTCAGTGCCGTCCCCACCCAAAGGAGACGCTACCAGAAAACCCAAACAACAGAAACAAAAGCCCCCCGATAACAAAGCAAGGCAGGAGTTCGCCTCTCCCAACACACCAAGACTGTTTCTTCCCAGTCCTCTTGGCCTCAGGCTGCGAGAGCTGACCTGCCTGATATTTCTGGTGACGTGGAGGCATGTCCACCGACAGAGAGACCATCCCCTGCTGAGATGCTGCCCTTCACTCTCACCTTAGCCAGCGGCTACACCTCTTCGATCAGTGCCTTGTGGAAAATCCACCTGCCCGCACCTCCACCCAAAACCTTCACCCCGCGGTGACGGCAGCACGGCGGTCCATTGGGTACCTACCGCGAGAGAGGCAACCGCAGCCGTGCCACCATCACAGCCTCTGCCTATCGCTCCCCCAGCGGGGAGGGCGCGAGGTGCCAGTCCCCCCCTCCCCGACGCACGGCGGCAGGCGGCTTCGAGGGCTGCACACCCAGCGGCACCGCAGAGCGCACAGCCTGTCTGGCGGGAGTCCTCTCTCTCTTCGCCCCCCTCTCCAGCCCAGCCCAAACCCTCCCCATTTCCACGTCTGCATCGTGTCACACATCCTAATCATTCATGAAAAATCCAGCCGAAGCATCCCAAGCATGATTCCCTTCTGATAGTTGCCATGGTGACCTTGGGAAAGTAGCCAACCCGGAGACAGTCACCATGGAAACAGAGAAGCCCAAAAGCAATAATGACTTCAGGTCATGTCTGTGCAAAGACATCACGAGGTCGTCGGAGAGTAAACAAACTCATTCATATCTGCAAACAGGGGGTGGCGGGATGCGGGGGGGCACAAAGGTGGGGTGCGGGGACCAGCGGGAGCTGTGTGGGTGAAGGTGCTGGCTCAGCTCGCGCTGCTGTCACTTGAATTTTATCGGTCGAGACACCTCATCGTCACACGGCTTACGTAAAAATCAAGATGAAGAGCCGGGGGGCAGGGGAGAATAATCCTATAAGTGCAAAGATGCAAGATACTATCCTAGATATTAGGGAGTGTATTTAAGCGCCTCCTCTATTTTTAAGCAGGAGACAGCACAGCTCTCCATGTCTGGAGGAGGGACAAGGACAGCCGCACAGCGCACAAGCCAAGATGCTCCGTGATGAATGGACCACTCACAGCAACTGGTGTGCGCTGTGTTCTCTAGAGCATCACCGAGTCCTTCCCTCCTCTCCTCCGGCACCGAACCCCACCCCGGGCACACCTCCAGCAGCCCCTGCCTCACCGAGGCCGCTGAAGCGAGCTGGGCACGGGGCAGGGGAGCGAGTCCCAGCCCCCAGCAGCCACCTCTGAGGGCTGGGGATGTGCCCGACCTCTGGCTGCTGCCACACTGCGTGTTTCGCACGAGGGCTGACTGCAGGCAGGCAGGCGGGCAGGATCTCCTGCGAGCACAGGCGCCTCTTCAGACCCCAGCGCTGCCCTTTCGCCGTCCATCGCTTCCCCTCCGCACCGGGCGTTCACCGCCCACCCCTACCTCCAGGCCAGAGGCGCAGACGTAGGCGTTAGCACAGAGGAGGAAGGAAAGAGCTCCTCGTCTCGGCCAAACGGTCCCAGCGAGTTGAGGAGAGCAGAGGCGCTGCCAGTGCGTAAAGGAAACGTCCGGCAGCCCCCTCCCTGCAGACGCACAGCGCCGCGGGCCGCGCAGGCAGTTGGTGCCATAGTTATGCAGTGAGTCACCAGCTGTTTACAGAGTTTGAGAGCTCACATTCCCACAGCATCAGAAACTCTTCCTTCCCTCGGCATCCCCCCCCTCCCTCGCCGCCCCCATCCCTACAAGGAAAGGGGCACGCTGCCGTCCCGCTGGCGGCACTCCGCGCTGCTAAAACCGGAAAAGGAAAGTCAAAACGGAGAGGGAGGCCGACGACAGACCCGTCACACCCACCGATTACACAAAAACCCTTTTGATCCTCACCCAGAGCGTCTTCAAAGCACTTTCTACGCCAGCCGATGGAAAAACTGAACAGGGCCGCCTGGCTGCACGGAGATGGAAAGAAATGTAAAATAGCGTGGAAAACAAGAGCCGAGGGGTGAGGTTGCCTCCAGCGGGGGTCGGCGCGCGGGCTGGCCTGCCAGCCCAAGCAATGCTCCGCTCCACGTGACAAAACCCCTTACGGTCACCTGTTGCTCTGTGTTGCCAAAGTGACATCTCCTTACCCTGCACATCCCTCGCCGGACAGCACAGACGTCTTCACGCTCGGTACGGGGTCTTGTGCTGCGTGCCCGTCTCCCCCTGCACACCAAAGCACCCTAGATGGGCCAGCATCCCTCCAAGATGGGCTGGGATCCATCCTATTGCACCAGGGGCGGTGTGCCAAAGCTGCTGCTGGCACAGAGATGAGCAAGGCGGTTCAGGGCACCATCAGGAATCGCGGCACCAGGCCGTCTTCAAACAAGGGTGGGAGATGGGGGCTTGCCCTGACTCTAAGAGCAGGATTTGGTAGTGCAAGTAGAAACACTCAGACAAGCTCGAGTCTCACACTCAGACACGAGTGCAAGCATGAGTCTTATCTCTGCACTAGATGAACCCACAGGTGTGGTCTGGGCTGCGCTCGAAACCGATACAACACCACTCACAACCCTCATCAACAGTCCTCCAGGGCCTTGGGCTCTGTCTTCATCTTCCCACCTACAAAATCCTTCCCATCAGGACTATTTGGGACTATTCAGCTACCAACAACAAGCAACTAAAATCAGCACAGCATCTCCCACAGTTAGAAGGCAAAGCCCCATGACAAAAATCATAAACCATCCCGCAAACATGCCATATCCAGCAGCATTCCCTAAACATGCCACACAGGGGTCTTCTGGGACCCTGCCTGCGATTTGATTACTAGAACCCTTTTAGTCTTTACCCTATTCCTGCCCTTCTTTTCTTAATTGCATTTGCTGCATCACGTCTAAAATTAGGAGCTCAGCTTTTTGGAACAAGGACTGCATTACATCTCTGTTCTGTAAGCAGTACGACACACTTTGAACGCTACATAAATAAAGCGGCGAGTAGTAATACACCAACTGTAAGGGGCAAAGGCTTTTCCAGCGCAACTCCGCACTTGTATTTAAAGCAAGTGTTTTGACTGTGGGTTACATAAAGAGCCCTTGTAATCCTGCAATAAAGTTACCCATTGACAGCCTTGCCAACACCCTCTCCCTCTCTCAGATGACTCCTATGCCTCTTGCGGCATCATCCCAAAAACACGGAGGTCTCCAGCTGACATCCCAAGCCTGATGGTCTCAGCTTGGACCGTCTAGGGATCCCCAGTTCCTTTGCTCTGAAACGGGAAGACAGCAAAAAGCCTGACTCGGGCAAAGGTAGGACAGAGCTTTCCACACAAGGCTTGCAATTAAGAAAACATGCCAGAATGAGACTTCAGACTTTCCACGCTACGGGGTTTTCAAAGCGCATTACGCATTAAGGAATTACTATAAAGTCACTGCTGACACCTGACAACTGCGGATGAACTCAAATTTTAAAACTCTTTCTACGCTGAAAGACAAACCCTGGCCAGAACATGAGTGCCTGGCAGACAGCCCTGCTGGTGTTTAGCTTCCATCCTCAGACACATACAGCAAACTGCGAACATGCAACTCTCACCTTCAGCCAGGCCAGCGATGACTTCCAGAGGGCAGAAAAACAGCGTAAGGTTCAAGCAGCAATGGGGACCTCTGCCATCACGTCTCAATTCAGCACCGACAGTCACGCAGGGAATACTCTACTCATTCCCAAATGCGGTAATTGAATTCCCAGGCAGCCGTTTTAGTAAAGTTACCCAAATTTCTCACTTATCCACAAGTTATTCCCAGCTCCAGAGCGCTAGCCAAACAGATGTGCCTACCAAGGATAACATGAGAGCTGACAGGTGAAGGGAACTACAGATGCTTAAGTCTTCGTCGCTGTGCCTCTGCCGCTCGGAGGCACGACACGGATTCCCAGCACATTGCAGCATGGTAGGCAGAGCACCATCCCTCTCCCCATCATTCAAAAAGCCATTCTCCTGCTCTGGCAATCTTCACACATCCTGTAAGGCAGACTGACGCTTGTCACTCATTTGTAATGAGAGCAGGGAGGGACGGGCTGATGGTGTGAATCAGAGAGTAGAAGCATATGCGAGGCAATATATTTGACATGAAGAGAGAGAAGACACAAGGAGGGGGTGAGTCACTGTTTACTGTTCTAGAGGAGCTCCACGCAGCCCTCGCCCAGCTGGCCAGCTTTCCATTTCCCTTATGGATCGGAACCAGCATCCAGCAGCAAAGGGGAGATTCAGGAACCTTCAGAGCACATTTGAGAGCTGCCAGGACACGGTTCTCTGAGGCGCTCTCTGGGGAAGCCTGGACATGGATCAAACAGTCTTCAGT